CGTGGGGCCTGAACTCTGGGCCTGGGCGCTGTCCCTCAGCTCTTCAGCTCAAGGCTAGCGCTCTACCACTTGAGCCACAGCGCCACTTCTGGCTTTTTTTCTTTTTACTTATGTGGTGCTGAGGAATCAAACCCAGGGCCTCAGGTATGCAAGGCAAGCACTCTACCACTGAGCCACCTTCCCAGCCTACTTTTTTTTTTTTTTAGTCAACCAACCAATCAGCATGTAACCTTGTTTATAGATACCTTACATACCATATGTAGCTGATGTACCAGCATATAATTATGGCTAACTGTACTATAATTCACATCTGAATAAAGTTTACCTAACACATATTTGCTCTATAAAGCATATCACAGCCAAAAGACTCTGGACTGTACTCAGCATTATGCTTGCAGGCCAAGTTAGTGTGTATGCATGTGTGTGTTAGGGGATAAAACCAAAGCGCTTCATGTGTGGTAGGCAAAAGCTGTATATCTCATCTACACTACACTCCTATTTCTGAGGATCATTCTGAATGGCAAAATCACCAACAACAAAGCACAAAAATGATGAAGAAAATGTCACTGTAAATATACCATGCAACTGACATTTTGTCTCTATGATGGCTATTTATGATTTTCAACTTGATTGGATTACAAAATGTTTGAGAACTGGGAGCTGATGGCACCTGTTAATCCCAGCTACTCAGGAGGCTGAAATGTGAGGATCAAGGTTCTTAGCTGGCCCAGACGGAAAATTCCACAAAAGCCAGAATAAGATCAAAGTTGGAAGATGAAAAATAGAGATGGCCTGAGATGGGAAAGCCTGAGTGGAAGGTGAAGGGTCCATGATGGGCAACCTGGTCATCAGCCCAGTGTGGCAGCTCTTACCTGAAGCTGATAAGCCAGGTCAGCCTGTGCTCGGCGGGTGTTGACTTCGATGTCATATGCTGCCTTCTTCAGCTCATAGTCTCTCTGTGCCTTGGCCATCTCAATTTCACTCAGGTACTGAGCAGACACCTTTTCCTGTTTGGCCTTAGCCTCCTGTCCAGTCAGAAATCAGGTAGGAAAAGGCAGGTAGAAAGGAAAACATGGGGTAAGAGCTTGCTCCTCACCAGGCTTTTCAGTCTTTACCCAAGCTCCCTCTATCTCCCCTGCCAACCCAGTTCAACCAACCCCATTTAGCTGTGTTGCTTCTGTCACCCACAAAATCCTCTCTGCCACTGGGCAACAAGACCATCATCTCTCACCCGAATCCCAGCATCTCTCTTGGCCTCTGCTTCCCCAATTCGAGCGTCTTTTTGGACTTGTGCTGTGCGAGCCTTCCCCAAAGAATGCAAATAGTCCTGTGGGGAGAGGTATAGAAACGGGAGTCCTCAGGAGGGCTTGAGAGATGGGAGCGAGGAAGTACAGAAGGACTGACTGTGTAGTTTTACCTGGTCATCATGAATGTCCTTCAGGGTATAGCTAACCACACTGATGCCCATGTTGACCAGGTCTGAGGAGGCCACCTTGAAAACCTGCTCTGAGAATTTCTGCCTGTCCTTATAGATCTCCTAGAACAACAGAATGGTGGGAAGAAAGTATTTAAGCTCTCTGAGTTTCACCATCACACACAGACTAGCTGAATCCTTTGGCTCTACTTATTCTGCATCCCTACCAGATCCTTTTTGCCCACAAACCCACCTCCACAGTCATGTGGGCCATGATAGCCCTCTGGTGGCCCTCCAATGTCTCCAGTGCAATGTGGGCAATCTCAGCCTCTGTCTTCCCCAGGAACATCTGGCAGGCAGCTGCCAACATTTCCTTGTTCTGTCCCTGGATTTTCACCTGCAGCCAGAGAAGGGATAGAAAGGGTGTGATGGAAGTCTCAGGAAGCCAAGGAGAAAGCAGGGAGAGAAGGAAGAGCCCTTAGCATCTTTTTCCTTCTCAGGGACAGAAATGCCCTGCTGGAGAATGCAGAACATGTTTCTTTGCAGGCAGAGGCGCATAAGGCCATGGTCAGAAGCTTCTTAATGTCTGGGAGAAAAAATGATGGGGTGGAAAACTTTGTTGGGTGGGGGGGAAGGCTCTGAAAGCCTCACCTGGGCAATGCCTGTGACTGAGATGGGGACCCCATGGCGAGTGTAAACCTTTTCACTCTTGACATTGAGGGTCAGTGTGTTAAGAGAGATCCTAGGGGAAAAAGAAGGGGCCGACAGTGAGAAAAAGAGCAGAGAGAGAACTGGGTGCACCACCCCTTGGTTCTCTTCCTACTTACCTCTGGATTTGTTGGATGCAGGGCAGGACAAACACACGTCCTCCAGCCACCATGACTGGGGGGCTTCGGCAGAAACCTGCAAGGTGAAGGCATTGTGCAGCCATGGAATGAACTGGAAGCCAGGGGTGGCGGTAGCATGCACAGGACATAATCTTTAGCTGGAAAGGGAGCAGTCTGGGGGGGCTTTGAGGGTAGTGTCTAGGAATCACAACTAAGTAGCTTGCAGGAAGTAGCTGAGGGAAAGAGGAAAGGGCAAAAGCCAAACCTGCATGGGTTTGATTGGGGGTGGTGGTGGTGTCACTGCTGGGAAGAGAATACTTACCCGAGACAACCATGGCCTCATTGGGGCCACAAGTAAAAAACATGGCTCAAGCCTGGAAGAGAGGCAGAAAGAAGCCTTTGCAGAAACAGAAGAGTCCCATCCCTTATCCTTCGGGCTCGCCCGTTTTACATCTGCCACCGCCCAGTCCCTTCCACGCCCAGAGGTCCGTTATGGCTTTTCCCAGTAAAAACCCAGATCCCCAGGGATCCCTCTCCCGTCGGCTGACGGTCGCCTCCCTCCTCTCACTGAGCCCCCTCCCCACTCTATCTAACAAAGCTCTGCCCCCCCCCCGAGGCCCTCTGAGACCTTTCTGCAGGGCCAAGCTCCGCCTCCCCTCCCCCACTCACCTACCCACCCGCACGGCGGCCCGGCCTCGATTGTCCTTCCGAAGCGCGGGGCCGCGTAGGACCCGGGGGCCGAGCAGGGGCTGCCCGCGAACCCGCCTTCCAGGAAGCTGGGGCCCGCGCCCCCGCGCCTGCGTGACCCACCTGGCCGCACCCTGTTGCTGCGGCAGACGCGACCCCGCCCCCGAGCGCTCG